TATATACGTATATCTATCAGACATATATAAATGCACGTCTATTTAATTTCAAATGATCGCTCGTGTAATAAAATTAAATAATTCCATAAATAAATATATCTATGCTCATCAATAAATATATAGAAAAAACATTATAAGAACAAAATAATTAAACATTTATCTCTGAATTGAACAAAAATGTACAATCATACTCAGACTCGGTTCATATGAGGTCAGGTAGCGGTTTCAGATGTACACAAAAAATCGATATCGTTCCAGCCTACCCCCTCCTCCCAGTTTAACCCCCCAGCCCGGAAACTGCCAGCTAGGATTGAGAGACATTTTCAATCAATATACGCCATACTAGATAACATCACGACTTGAAATAAGACTTTTAGATACTATGAGCAAGTCAGATCTGAGATTTTTAGAGTCATTTAAATGAATAATATTTTTCGAATGTAGTACGCGACTTTATTTTTTATTATAAACTACATACTATAACGTTTCGGTTACTTTACAGCAACCGTGATCAGGAAGACGAGATGTTGTTATTATATATCCGTAAAATATTAGTTTTATCATATGAGCAAATTATCAAATTTCATATTAAACAAAGTATATATATTAATCATAGTAATTTAAACTGACTAACGTATAGTATCGAAGTCAAGTCTAGATCATTAACACTAGATAATACTCGTTAGAAATGATTCCTTTATTAGGTGTCTGGATGAAAGTGAACTAAACCGGTCAAACAAGACGCATTTCTCGGACTAACTATTTACACTTATGTCTATAATTCGATGGATAGCAAATAATTCGCAATCCAAACACAATAGATAACTATGTTTTAAATGATAATATTATTTACGTGGATTTCAAAAAACTATTGATTTTTCCAAAGTCAAAATATCCTCTGGAAACCAAAACTTAAATTGAAATGTACTTTTACTTTTAAAAGATATTATACTATAAAATTACTATATATACATACTCTTTATATTTAATATTATTGTGTCTGCTATACTTATTGATTTTGTATGCAACAATACAAATTTAATGAAACCATACACCAAGGTAATAATAAAAATCAATATTCTACGTACATCTTATTAATAGAAAAGTTTGCTTGTTTGTTTTAAACTACAAGTATTGTGAATTAACTGTTTTCACACATATGTAAAGGAAAATCAGTAATGGTAATTTTTCTTACATTCTCAGTATCCTTAGTCCAAGTTGACATCACTCTACATACTGACATTTAAGAGTTTTTTTATTTGTTAATTGTTTCACATTATAGTATTAATGTAGGTTATTGAAGGGTAACCTATCAATGCTTCTTATGTAATACTAGCTGCGCCCCGCGGTGTTACCCGCGGATTTCCGGGATGTAAAGTAGCCTATGTGTTATTCCTAGACGTCAGTTTCCTGTATACAAAATTTTATCAAAATCGGTACAGCCGTTTGAGCGTGAAGAAGTAACAAACCAACACACACACTCAAACTTTCGCAATTATTATATTAGTAAGATGAAGAACCAAATTTGAAGGCATACGGTTGCCATATTCATGAGCAGAATGTGGCTTAAGATAAATATCTATAATCAAATAATTGATATAATTTATCTATATTAGAAAGCTTTAGAAAACGGACATAAATCACTAAGAATTAGTTACGATATTCAATGCCATAACGAGTAACATGAAACGTAAGAAAACAATTGTGTTTGTGAAATCTTATATAAAGATTTTCATTTTGTATGTCTTTTATATTTGCTCTAATTGCCTCTGATATAAAAGAATTACATCAATACATATAATTCCCCTTAATATAACATTTTATTTCGTAATTCAACGAGATTTCAAATTATTTACTAGTGCGCATTAGGAAAGATGTTAATTTATTTAAAATATATCTCATTGATGAAATCTGTTAATTATATTTTAAACCAAATATTCTCAAACATTTTTAGGAAATTGCTTTATATTAATACAATCTGTTTTATACTTAAACGTATAAAAATTAGAAAAAAATATATGTATATTAAAAACATGTTGTATTGATCGCTTATGTAATATATGTTTGGTGGTCCACACAGATGGTATCTAAATACAGCTGCTATATAAAACTTATCATCGAAGGCTGGGTCGAAGGCAGCGGGCTTATGCTCGCGACCTGCCTCCCCAGTGAGGAAGCCTCCGGGCGTCGGTGGGGAACCGGCGTCCGGGTAACATAGGCTAGAGGAAGAGCGGCGTGTTTGGCGTTCCCGGCACGCTGCTCTTGAGTCGGAGGGGTGGTGTGGTCAGCCACTGATACCCCTGCCGATGGCGGAGTCCCTTTCGGGACTCGTGCGTAGTGAGCGGAAGCATGGCTTGCCGTTCCCGCTCACTAGTCTACGCACAGCGCAGAGAACGCCGAGGTGGTTTAGTGGGTGGAAATCCCACATGCCCCTGTCGCGTTTCCCCCGCGGCAGGAAGTCTTTAAAAGATTCCCCTCGTAGAAAAAAAAAATAAATAATAATAAAACTTATCATATTATTTGGTAAAATCCTTTTCATCAATAATTCTCATCTATATTTCTTAACAAAAGTCCCATCACCTCAAAAGTCCTATAAGACTACGCCCCTCTTCAAGCATGTTCGTCCATTGAGCAATCCACTTATATTTCTAGACAGATTCTTCTTCATAAGTTGACAACTTGTGTTGAATGAATCTTTCGTCAAAAAGAGTTATATGTAAAAATGTTCTAAATAAACAAAGCTAAATATTAAAAAAGGTACATATTTTCGTTGCTTTAGGGCTGAACTAACACATGACTTATCCATAGACAGGTTAATTGACCAGCTCTATCAACAAAATATATCTCCATCGTTTGAGAAATAGAATAGTATTTTCGTAGATGCCAGACAGAAGCTGCACCTCAAAACGTCTATTAATCAACTTTTTGTAGCTCTTTGTGGATAGGACGTTCTGTAATCCAAACTACTTAGCAAAATGGGCCCTTATCAGGAATCAGTGGTTCTTAGCTTTGGGTAATAGACCAACTGACGTACTCAATTTTGATCTTCTAGGTTATTGTATTGTAGGCTATTGTAGGTTATTGTAGGCATACTGCAAGCGTGTTAGTAAAAGGCAGTCATGTGAAAACAGTGCTTTAAGCCGCTCGGTGAAAGCATAGCAAAATGTGTAAGAAACATTCGTAATATCGCTATGATTATATTTCCAAGCCTTATTCCTTAGGAATCTGTTATAAACAGGAATAACTTTTACTTCCATGAAGTCAACACCAGATCTGTGTGTATATTAACAAATTGCAATTACCCTATAATTAGAAAACCTATTTCTATGAAAAAGGTGGGCATGTAAGGAAAGTAACATGGTTTTCTATCCTACATTAAAACTTAGGTTTTATACTTAATTCTTTTTTAATATTAAAGCGACTATTAAAGTATTAAAAACCTCTTCTTTGTAACAATGGTCTTAACAAAAATTACATATAGACGTCCTCTAAAAATGATCAGCACACAAATACTTCCTAATGTCCATGTAATATTTAATAAAAAATAGTAATAATATGTGATCTTAAAATGATTGTATATAGAATAGATAAAACAAGATGTACTCGTAAAGACATGTCATGTTCAGATATTTTGGTCAAATATATTAAAATAATCTATGTCGTATTAAAATTACAACCTAACCACATAAATAAAAGTAATGTTTTTTCGAATGTACTACGTACATACTAAAAAAAAATATTGGTTTCATTTAAATGACTACTCGCGAAAATCTTAGATCCCACCAACCACATAACTTTGCCATAAAGGCTGAATTATTATTTACGTACATTGTCTCCTAGTATTTATATTTATTTCATTTACTAACAAAAGCATTGGGTACAGTAAATATATTTCATCATCGAAGTACTCGTCATAATATTATAAATAGATACAATGATCTCTAGTTGTCAATAAACATCGCTCCACGTGTGAAAAGACGTCTCTTAAGAACCAATTCTTTCAGCACTAAAATAGGAAACATACAAAGTTACTAACTTCTATATTTCATATAGGATTGAGTTACCGAAAGGTTAATGACCTGTTATTTCATATATTCATATTGTTCCTTCTTATCGCAGCAAAACATTTTGCATACCAGGTACCTACCGTAAAGACTAAAGTGTAACTTCAACATAATTAGTATTCTCGTTGTTTGCGTCCAAAGACCTCGCTCTCAACCATTTTCGCTAAAAAATAAACAGAACAAAGGCATCCCTTTTTCATGAGCTAATAAACTATGGAAAAATATTTAGAATTCCTTATTTTAATTTGTTTTGAAATCAAGTTTGATATTTAATATACTTAATCCAAAAGTTACGACAAGAATATTACGATATAGTTTAATAAATTCGTGTTGCTAATTTTAACAAAATCCTTCTTAAAAATTCAAGTGTATCAAATATAAATATGACGATGTATGACGTTATAACATAACTTAAATGTTCAAACGCTCTCCCACGCTTGGTCTTATAGGAAACATGTGAATTGATGATAATTATCGCATATCAGAAAAACATAGTCAGGTGAATGTCCGGATGAGAAAAATAGCAAGATTCGCTTCATCTAGAACAGAAAAGTAAGAGTTGTATGCATCAAAAACAATGGAGTAACACAAATTAAACTTTCTTATAAATATTCTAGGAAAAGAGTAATTTTCTTCTGTAGTATGAAAATTCTTTTTTGCCTTTAATTAAAATGAAACGCGGCCCTTGAGTGCGGTTGGAGTCAATTATACTGCGTATACTTTATATGTATATGTATTTGCGAACGTAAAAGCATGATATTGTATTACACGTACTAACAGAGGGTTGTGGTTTTAGCATCATATATTTCCATTAAAATTTAAAACTATATTGTCATATTAATTCATTTCTAAAGAGGTTTTACAATGGACAAACATAATCAAACGCAAGTGTATAGCGCAGTGTATTATGTCCACATTGGCTTAACTTATATTGTAATGTGCCCCAAGGCTGCGTTACAAAAGAGATATGACCTTAGTCGACATGACTACGCCATGTGTCAAACGCATATGGTAAAGTATTAAGACACTCATAGACATAGAGTATTAAGTATACATTGTGTATAGCAAAAAATATTTAATATTAATGAGTTTAAAAATAATGAATATTTTTTACGTACAGATATTTTTTCTATAGGAAGTACGTATTCTGTTTTTGTTTACTTTGATAATATAATACTTCGACACTAAACAGTTGACCCTTTAAGTAGTTTGAGTTAAAAGTAATTAAAAATATTCATATACATGTGATATATCTTATAACATACAAAATTTATTACACATACTACATTATATCTGACTTTGCATAATGTTTATATCTAGTAAAATCTTTACGGTTCTTTTTTGTAATATAAATATTATACCGTAAGGATTAAATTTAAAATTTCATACAAAGATTTTAACATTTATAAATGATAATCAAAAACACTTTATACGCTCAATAATTCAGAAATGAAGATGTTTAAAAGTACTATAAAAATTCTGTATTCTATCTTAAAACAGAACTACCAATCGCGAAGCATTTTTTGTTTTTTTATTTGCGAATTTTATATGGCATAAATAAATATTTCATGTGGAAACTTAATAAATCATTCCATGGTAATTAAGACCCCATAATGGCCATTACGGTAACATTAAGAAAACCCGAATAACTTTGATGGTATCTATGGAAACCAGCCAACATGTTCCCATAACTTGATACAAACACCATAATTATTCCATTCCTTATTCACCCCATTTATGACTCATGGGTTTTTCAATACAGGACCACTAAGTACTAACGGTTATCTTTCACGCAAAAGTTTTTGCGAATTTAATTACTTTTACGTACATACTACTTCATTTTACTTTGCATATTTTTTTATGTGAAAGATCCCAAACGAATAGAGGCCTACTTGATAGGCAGTAACCACCGTCGCCCATGGACATCCGCAATATAGATGTTGTGGATGCGTTGCCAACCTTATTTGTTAAAGAAAAGGGAATGGTAGGAAAAAGGAAATTTTAGGAAAGGGTGGGAACAGGTAAAGATCAACCGGCTCTCTCACTCATCGGACGAATACAGACATAAAAGGCTACTCACGCCGATCTTCTGTGAGAGGGTGGTACTTCCCCGGTTGAAACAACCCAAGTTCGAGCTGTAGCAACTTGACCACAGCTAGGCTCTAATATGTATGTAATTTCGTTTATTTTCTGTCATGTATTTAACATAGTTATTAGTAGGTAATTTACCTAAGCGATGTACAAACATTGTGTCATACACGTACGTCCCGTTAAGTATTTGCGAAATCTCGATAAGATTAACGTTATAATAAATATTGTTCTTGCATTAATCTGTGAATGACAAACATTGCAATTAGTACAAAACGAATTAATTATATATAATGTATACAAAATACATAAAAAATATTTAATATTACATATATTTGCTTAAAAATTTAAATCAATATATAAAACTAACATTTTAAATCCTTATTTGAAGTTAAAAGAAAGTTTTTTCTATTCGTAATTAATATTGAGTGTGAAAGAAATATTGAAAGATAAAACCAATTTATATTTGTGTCCAGTTAATTTTATCTGACGACTGGCGTGATAAAAGATAAAAGATAAGATAAATCAACTCTCGAGAGAATGACTATTGATTTGATAATGTACTACAACTTCTACATACTTGTATAACTATGTAAGACTCACAAAACTACCGGTTTTTATCTTAGTATATTGAAATATTTTTACATTTCTCCATATACATGGATCACTAAAAATATTTCTATATGAAATTATCTTACAAAAATCTATTAAACTACTTAATTTTGTTTAAAATATTTGTATATCACCAAAGTTAACGTTTAGATTTTTAATAAATTCTTTATACACCCGAATTGATAGCCTATTATTGGATTCTACATATTAAAAAAACTATATTTTTTAATATTATTTATCAACATATAAATACTACGTAATTATGAAACTCAAATCTATCACATGTATAATAAAAAGTAACGTATAATACAGTAAAAGTTATATATAATTCTTAGTAATATAATCGTATATGGTCTGTATAGCTGTCTGTACGCATCAGCTCCTGTCATTCACCTTGAATCCCCTTCGTACCTTCACATCTAGTTATTTAACATTAATAAATGCTTCCTTTAAAATACATTGTATATAGGTTTAATATTGGATTGAATTTTGTGTATTTAAGGCAGAATTACATTAAACTTCATAGTAAAAATAATTTATATTATCACAAGAAAAGCAAGGATATTACTATAGGAAAACTATTGTTTCATCTATAAGCCAATTTGTTTTTAAAATAGATAATTTTCATATATATATATGTATATACGTACATAAGTATATATATAGAAGCATATTAACAAGAACTTAAGAACAAACCTTAAATTGGTTAAGTCAGTCATAAATATATGTTGTAGTATAGATGTAACAAAATAAGAATTTTATTACGTGTAATAAATTGTTGTAATAATTCAAGATGAAGTAATAACACTTATATTAACCTTATCTCAGTAACATCTTCATCTGATAAAATATACTACGTGGAAAAGACAGAAATGTATATCAGTTTTAAAGTAAGATAATTTTTACGAAATATCTTCTTCCTGGCAATTTCCAGCTTTAGCCAGGGTCTGCCTTACATGTTGTGAATAGTTATTGTATATTATATGTCTGACATGAATCCTCTTTTGGGAATGCATTAATCAGTGATGTCTAAATACTCTTAGAAAGTACATGATTCGGAAAAATCACATTGGTACTTGCCAGGATCGAACCCGCATCCTCGTGCATGAGAGGTGGGCCTTTTTAACCACTAGGCCATCACTGACTTACAATTTTTACGACATATGTACGTACATGTATTTACTCATAACGATATATAATTTTTAATGAGGTATTACATAAAGTATAAATGTTTGTATACATCTAGAACAATGGAGTTATTTAAATTTTTGTCGCATGTCGCATACAACAGTAGCAATCTCGTGAGTTTCTTTTATCTCGGTATGTTTTCCGGAAATGTGTAAACAAACAGACATACATACATCAGAAAGAAATTTCTTACGTCATACATATCTCAGTGGCGTATTTTTTTGTTATATTTATATAATAACAAGATTACAAACATAATTCTATTTATGTACTCGTATCTGTTTAGTGAGATTTAATACTTGCGCGAGTATTCATTTAAATGAAACTAATATTTTCGGAGTACATACTGCGCGTATTTTATTATTATTTAAAACTAAAACCGTGATCACGGTTGCTGGAAAGTAACCGAAACGTCGGGAGTATCTAGAATATTAGTTTAATTTATCTGTTTCGTGTACAACTACGGCTAAATATTTGAAAGAAATTACCATTCTAGGTAAACTGGACCTACTTTTCCGTAGGAAAAAGTATATTTTATTTATTCTAGATTATTGTTCATATTACTATTTATGTAGGTATATAAATATACATGTATTAAGATAATTTATTTACTTTGATAACCTTTTATGTTACGTAGTAAATGTGACGATATATTCAAAAATACTACCATTACTGGTAGCGATTTTAAAGATCAACTGTACATTATATATTTGTATGTAAAATTAAGCCTTTTTATTGATATTTGTTTATGAACTTAATTAGGTAATTTAAAAACCATGATAAATTAGTTTTGTCTTTTTTACAATTTAATTTTAGTAGTTTAAATTTAACTACTAGGCAACACTATACATCTCTTTCTTTTAATACGTGGAAAAGTGAGATATATCCATACTTTAAAAACTGGGAATCGAAGCCGTAAAACATTGTAGGATGATAAGCATTGTAACCACACTGTTTCCATTATTTTCTTAATAACGCATAGTCTACCATTCTTTTAAGAGTCGTTGAAGCATACGCATGCTTTAAACAAAAGATATTGTTCAAAATAAGAGGATGCTTCTAGCTACTTTCAAGTTGCCACAACCGAGATTGTTTTAGACTTGTGACGATAGTTCTTTAGGAAAAAGCATGGGGCTATGAAAGTACTTAGATGAAATATTAATAAAACTGCTATGAGATTTATAACTGTGTATCATTTTTTGTCGAGTATCAAAAGGATTTCATTTATTATAAAAAGTTCCTATAAGTTAAATTTTATTGTTTAAGTCTATAAGTGAAATAATGTTAGTCTAAAAGTCTAAACGTAAAGGCCTGCCTGTAGTGCATGAGGTTGTGGATTCGACACCTGGCAAATACCAATGTGTTTTATCCGCATTATATGTACTTTCTAAGAGTATTAGGACAACACTGACAGACAGTGAAGGAAAACATCGTGAGGAAACTTGAACTTATAATTTAAAATTATAAGTTTGAAATCACCAACCCGTCTTGGGCATGCGTGGTGATTAACGCTCTAACCTTCTCCATGTGAGAAAGACCTTTGCTCAGCAATGGATACTTATAGACTGATGATGAAGTGAGATCATTGTAGGGTTGGTTGCAAATAAATTATTTTGTTAACTCCAAATACGCTTTCTAACTAATTGGGTGACACACGCGACCAAAATCACATTATAATATTACATGAAAAAAATTCGTTGTTCCTTATAAAATTAATTCTTTGTTTACTGTTATCGTAGTATATAAAATAGAGTCAGTGCTGGACTAGATGTTAAAAAGCCCGCCTCACATGCATGAGGGCGTAGGTTCGATCCTGGCCCTGGCAAGTACCAATGTGATTTGTCAGGTCATATGTACTTTCTAAGAATATTTAGATCTCACTGATTAATGCATTCCCAAAGAGGGTTGATGTCAGGCAGGCGGCCGATCGTAAAAACTATTAGCCAAAACTATTCACAAGATGTAAGGCATACCCTGACTAAAGTAGTTTATAAAATTGTCCAGACTTTGTTATACATACCTATACAAAATTGATCTGAACCCCAACTAAGAGAAAACCACAATATTTTTTTATCAATAGTATTAAATAGTTACTTTCCCCAATGTTTATAAGTACATACATATTCACACCATTGACGTGACGCTTTAAGAGGGAGTGCATTCTATTTTAGTCTTTACATTTTCAGTTTGAAACAAGACGTGGCTAAGTAACGTCGCTCGTAAAAATAATTTACATTCTATAGCCAAATGGGATTACAATCAGTATCCGGTATTAATATAAAAGTGAGATTATTCATTATTATGAACTTAAGTTATTATTTAATACCTTTTTGGTTTTTGTGTGTTCCAAATTTAGTTCTGCCCTTGCAAGAGGACAAATGTTAGTGCTAAATCTAGCTGCTGTATGCTATTTTCTTTGTTTATACAAATAATTACCAATTAGAAATTGGATTGGTTGAATTACATGTGATATTGTATATCGATAATCCATATTATAATATTTTTTCTTTTACAAAAGTTTTCATTTCTTTTAATATTAATTTTAGTTTTGTTTTTTTGTTGATGTTTTTCTTTTGCATAATTTATAATCAGTCGCACGATCGATTCAGTGCTCAAAGATAATTATATTTCGTGGAAAATTTATTTTATTGAGGAAATACCAAAATAGTATCAGCATTATACTGCTTCCAAGTATTTTGTGACTTATATAAAATTACCTTTATTTTAATGAAATTTGTATTAAAAGGATTTTATTAAAACAAATAAATATTCACAATCGTTTATTCGAAATTATAAATCAGTGAAAAGTCATTCTTATTATGCGGTAATTTCCCGATCGATAATTACCAAAGTGTAATCGCGATTTCTTTTAAAAGAAAAACGATTATTGAATAAAAACTGAATTACGAATCAGATTTCTTCAGATAAACATTCACTATATCAATTAAATGTCTTTATATAGTATAGCAATCCCTACTAATATTATAAATGCGAAAGTAACTCTGTCGGTCTATCTGTCTGTCTGTTACGCTTTCACGCCTAAACCACTGAACTGATTTTAATGATATTTTGTACAGAGATAGATTTGACCTTGAGAAAGAACATAGGATAGTTTTTATCCCAGATTTTTGAAAGGTTCTCTTGGAAACGCGATATAACCGAACTCCACGCGGGCGAAGCTGCCTGTGAAAAGCTAGTGAATATATATTTTATATTTTGTATGTTTGTCATTCAGAGCTCTCAGAACCGCCTTCTCATCAAGAATGGCTGCATCGTCAACGCTGATGGTATGGAAGACGCTGATGTTTACATCGAAGATGGAGTTATCAAGTGAGTATTAAAGATTTTGCTATGACGATTTTGATTACAATTCTATTCTTGAATTGGTCTTATAGAAGACTTGCCATCAATTATTATGGTCCATTTTAACTGTGTAAATGAATTCTTCAATCATTGTGTTCATTTTCATTAATATGTAGAATATTTTTGAATTATAAATGACGTTATGACTGAATTATCGTGTAAATGCTGAAATAGATCTACGATAATTTATTAAATATATTTGGTTAAGTCATAAGTACATATATAATATTTATTTTATTAAATTTATTGTTAAAATAGGATAAGTATTAAATTAAAACCAAAGGTTAAACAGCGATAAATTATTAAATTTTTGTTAACTTTGTAATAATATATCAAAAATATTTTGTTCGATGATTTTTTTCCACATCTTATTCTCAGTGACTTTCTTCTTGTATCTTTTTACGTTCATCTAAATTCATCCAACTTAATAATCATTGCTCTTCTATTAAAAATAACCTCTTAATAGATTAATTTGAGTAAGATACTGGTTGATATTTGAAATACTATTAATAAAATACGTCATTGTACTTTCATACTGAGAAGTATATACTAGACTAGATGTGCCCGCGACTTTGTCCGCGTGGAATAGTAGTTTTTAGGCTTCATATTTATTTTTGCAAACAGCCTCCTCAGCTTTATAAATTATAGCTGTTAGCCACGGCTCTGTCCGCGTAAATATCTGTTATTATTCATTTAAATTAAGTGATGACAAAAACGATATTGTTTACAATTAAATATCTGGATAAAGATTAATATTATTGTGTTGATAAAACTCATACAAATAATTGTAAATAATGCATTAATATGGACAAAATTTAATAAGCACAAAAACGGTTTTAGTGCGTTAATCTTAAAAGATATACATTTTATTAGATCATTTCAAGAGGTATAATTCTTTCACACATACAGTGTAAACTCCATATAGCGACACTCGATTTAACGACAAACTCTCTAAAGCGTCGAAATCATTTGACTTTGGTTGATTTAGCTTGTCTACCATACAATAATACACTCTATATAGCGTGACAGCCACTCTCAATAACGACAAAATTAAGTAATAAAAAGTACCCTTTACGTTGCTAAAATTAGTAAAAAATGCTCAGCTGTGTACGTTTTTTTGTCGCTTTGTTATCCTAGCCCGCAATAAACTCCACTGTCGTAATCATGCATACCAAACTTTCTAAGAAATTCGTTCTTCACCAATATGCCTCAATATCGCAAGATATGAATAAAATACGTAAAAAATACAATAACATTACTGGTGCAGCAAAACACGTCAAACAAAAACAACAGACTTTATAACATTCTTTTTTATGTACATAAGTACTAACAGTAGTCTGAAACAAACTTTGTCTTTTTCTAATTCTGATTTTTCTTCCCTTTATTTATCGGCAACTCTCTATAACGCACTAAAATGCACGGTCCCTTCAGTGTCGTTATATAGAGTTTACACTGTATTTTTTTCGTATCTTAAATAATTAAACATTTTTTTTATATTATATTTTAATATAATTCCATAGAAAATCTATAATTGGAATATTTTATTCGTTATGCTTCTGAATAATTCATAACAACTAAAAGTTTAAGTGCCTATTTAAAATTTATCCGGTTTTTAGTTAAAATTTACAATCTCATACAAGATCATACATAAGGAAAGTTAAATAAAACTGAAGATTTTTTAATTGTTTAATAGAATTATTATTCAATAATAGAAATTATTTCTTTTTAAGTACTTAAAAGAAAGACATAGTATATTTGTAATTAGTTAAAACTTAATTGTCTTTACCAACCACTTGACATTTATCAGATTAAAAGCAAGTAATTTCATATCAGTCTTTAAGTAGCCTTAACTACTTAATAGTTTGAAATTATTAGTATAATATTTAATAAAGTTTAGTTGTATAAACGATTTAAAATACGGTCACCCATCATCTATTAATTATGTCACTGATGCTTAACAATTTTACCGTTCATTATGCCATAAATAATTTTATTTGTCAGAATTTATAAATCTAGAGATTTTCTTTAAGGAAACCTCTGTATTATAATAAAAAAAACTTGACACATCTTGAGTGAAATTTTCTGATATTAACCACCAAACCACATTGGAGCGGCGTGGTGGATAAAATTCTAAGCACTTTCCATATACGTTGCATAGTATGAATAATATTAACTTTCATTATTAACTAGTTTTTACCTACGACTTTATCTACTTGGAGTTTTCCATTTTATTTACGACTATCATCTACCGCCGTCTTTATATTAAAATCTATTATGCAGTGATCTAGTATGAAAAACAGGAAATTTCTCAATTAATAACTATATATTATTCTGATGTTAAATCTATATCATCGTAAAGTTTCATTAAAATCGATTCAGTAGTTTTTGTAGAAAAAAATGACAAACATACATACATCCATTATAAGAAGTATCGTTTGTCAAAACAATCAATAATATGGTCTAGGATTAATTTGTATTTATTTAATAAGTCAATTTACTAAGTGTTAAACTCAGCAGTTAAATTGAACGCTGTATTTGTTGCTTTTGAGGTTTCCGACACCTAATACCCTAAACTAGGTCATTACTATGTCACTGTAAATAAATATAAATAAACTTTAAAATAATTCAAGTAAATATTTTTTTACCTATATATGTAACTTTTAATTTTATATGTACGTCTATAAAACATAATTTAATTTAAATCAGTTCCGTAGCTATTGAATGACTAACAAACAAACAACTACTAAACAACATAATATAAATCAAAATATGTAGATAACTGAAAGAAAAAGTTTAAACTATCTAAGCTTAGTTTTTTATGCAACCAATATTCAGGATACCATTCGTAACGAGTTCTCGTGCAAAGATGTATTTAAAATCCTATATATTATTTAATACTAACTTAAAACAATGTATCAAAGTAACTAAGTATTATCTATTTTTATATCAAACTGAGTACATAGAATACATAGAGTATATGTGAGTCACGGTAAATATGACTCAAAATGTTCTCACGTATGCAACAAACGTGGTCATTAATTAATGACCCTAATTATATGTGTAGGACATCTTGTCATTCTATTTTATAGTGTCAATACCGATATAAATTATATTATAGAGGATGGTTGGTAGTTATATCAATAGATGGCGTTAGTGAGGATTTATGAAATCCTAAATCACGCTAGTAAGATTTTATCACTGAGAATGACGTCTCTCATACATTTTCACCTTTGTTTTAGATTCCCTACCTTTCAGTTACGATCAAAATGTATATCTTCCAGTTTTATATAACAGTTTTTCGAGTTTAATCTTAGCATAATAAAAAAAAAGTTCTCCAACAAACATACTGCCTACAAAATAAACTAAAGGTTAATAGTTTAAATCAGTTCTTTGCTAGGTTTTTATACTAGTAATGTCTGCGACTTTGTTTTCGTGTACTTCGGAATAAGACATATTAATGTATAGTGGTATGTTTATGACTAGTAACCGAATCTTTAGTCCAAGTCACGTGCCTTCATAAAAAAAACTATTATGTATTAGTCCCGTGGGAACTTTCCGGGGTTTTTGGATGTTCTAGTTTGTCTTATTCTTATACATATCTACGCTACATAATAGTAAAGTTTCATCGCAATGTATCAAGTAGTTTTTGCGAGTAACAAACGTAAATCGATCTTTATAATATACTTTCGCCTTTTTTTTAACCTAAATATATGTGACTTATGTGAAGTATTTAATACTTTTCTAGCATGAAAAAGAAACTACATATTATAATTATTTCTTAAAAATCTTACATAATTTTATATAATATCGTAATTTCATTTTGTTTATTTTTATAGTTACATATTATCAAATACCTTATTTAATTACTTTGATTTTTTTTATCATAAATTAAAATCATTATAAGAAAAAAATAATCACTACGGATTCATAAGAAAAACATACTTTATTATTTTGTCACTAAGACAGATTTTTCAATAGATATTTCTTGTAAAAAATATTTATTTTTCTATCTGTTCTAGTACTGACAGTAAAATTTAGATTACCACAACAAGCATACCGAAAACCCAGTCATACTTTTTAAGGTTAATTAACGACCTAGTTTCAATTGCGACACTAATCCCATTTTTTTCGCACGCAACCAACAATATAACTACAATTTTTTATATAAAACACTTCTTTATAAAATCTCTTTTAATTCATAGAAAAATGATTATAAAAAAATTCTTAATTTCAATCATATAGGGTTAATAAACTCAGCGTCTATTTCATACATTAAATATATGTAATATTATATAATAAGATGTATATAACGTTAATTTTCGTCAATATTTTCGATTCTATCAGCATATGCCATCAAATCTAAACTTCCTCATACAATAAATCTTGTAGTACAAGACAGTTAGAAATAACCGAGGCATACCGTGATGAAATCGCGTGACTTTCATAATATTAAGTATTGACTGCCATAAGTCATAATATCTATTTTTGACTTACACGAATTCAAATCATATTAAAAATTATATAAGCTATTTATAATATTTTTGTTATTCATTTAACCGACTTAGTAAATAATATGTATGGAGTTTTACGTTTATGTTTATCTTGTATACCGATTTTTCTCTTAAACTCCACTTATATACAAGTTTCCAAATTGCATCTAATGTTACTTTAGTGTCAACGAAAATATACTTATTGAGTTTTATAAATCCAATTTATTAATATGTAATTAAATGTAATCTATAAATGCTTAAAATTGCCAGGTATTACAATATCAGCGTAAAACCTAGTTATATTAAAGGAATCCTATTATTTAACTATGGCTTCAACATTGACACTGCGGCTTCATCTCAAGGCTGACATGGAAATTAATAAAATAGTACGAATAGCTATTATAACTACAACATAGTAGATAATTATTGATTGTTTCAAAACAATGAAATACAATTCAAAATATTTATATATACAAACAAACAAAGCTTCATGTTTGTAAATTCAATTTGTTTATAACAATTCCATTATAGGAATGAACAGTACTCTGTTTACTAACAGGTGGGTAGTTTCATTTTGAACTAGTTTTTTTAATTAGGGCTCCTGTCTTTCTCAGGATTTCGTGATACAAAAAATTGTATAGCACATACAAAACTATATACAAACAGGTTTAGTAGTTATGCATGATTGAATAACAAACATGCAAACACGGCAATACCCACCTAATATTTAATTTAATACAAGATATGTAAGGTTTATGAGTTCAAAGAAACTAAATCTCTATTAATATTATAAATGCGAAAGTAACTCTGTCCGTCTGTCTGTTACGCTTTCACGTCTAAGCCACTGAACTGATTTTAACGAAATTTGGTACAGAGATAGAGTTAACCTCGAGAAAGAACATAGGATAGTTTTTATCCCAGACGTTTGAAAAGTTCTCTTGGAAACGCGATATAACCGAACTCCACGCGGGTGAAGCTGCGGGCGGAAAGCTATTAACACATAAAATAGATATTAAATACAGTTTCTACCTTCTTAGAAAATACTTAAAGAAAACAATTTTTTCTGTTCACTATACTAGTTGACTAGTATTACTGATAAATTATTTTTATTTATAATTAAAAAATTTGAATATGCTATGGCCGTATTCAAGCCGCACACACACACAGGAAACGGCTAATGCCACAACAAGAACATCCGCAAACCATAACTGGCATTACCATTACGGCTGCCATTTGGATTATGGAATAGAATTATAGATGCATGTGTTATTGTCTTCAACATTTTTGGTCGGAATCCTCAACAAATAAAAATACAGGAATATACAAGTTGAACATAGTTATCGATTAACTTACCACCTAGAAATAACTTCACGATGTCGCTATTGGCGTACGCGCATCGTAAAGATTCATTTTTCTCCATCGCGCCAAAAGAAGTATAACTTCAAAATGGAGATTTAAATTTACTTGCACTGCGGCTTATCTTGATAGTGTGGAGGTAACAACATTTGACTATTATTCGACCTAAATATTAATGCTAGCTTTAATTTAATTGTCTGTATCGTCACGGGGCAGAGTGGGTTGTCTATACTTAAAATTTTGACCTAAGTTCCTATTGTCATAATTGCTTTGACTACTCTACTGACGGCTGTAATGCGACATGCGATAGATCTCCATTGTGATAATTTGATCCTAATAAAAAAAAATACATAATAATTAATATAAAGGGTTAATATACACTATATAATTAATGTTTATTAACAAATACTAGAAGGAGCATATTGGAAAATTTTCTAAAACGTCATACAAATAAAAGGAGGGTAAAATAATTCTTTAAAAAATAAACTATACTGAACATTGAACTGAAAGGAAAATGCTAATATAAGTGGAAGTAGAAATTAGAATGCTCTAACAATATATATAACCTGTTGTCTTTATTTTAACCCGTCATTCATAATTTACGTGTCATGTCTAAAGTAATTGTGACTTCCGTTGGGTTAAAAATAATTATATGCATAATATGCACCCGGAAAAATACGACTAGACTAGATAGTGTCACAACGACGTTTTAAATATTTTGACTGAGGTCAAAGATTTTTGTGATATAATTCTTTATTTCAACGTACTCTGAAGTAGTAATCCCAATAAGATTTGTCGAAGCTTTTAAACATTAATCTTGGTACACATAAACAAGGATTTTATGTGAATTTTTTAATATATTGAAAAAAAAAACTGACTTAATGAAATACCTATTGAATCATAACAACAGACATTACTTTTATTTACATTTATTTTACGGCAGAAATGTTTCAGACCACTTAAAAAAAATACAATATCGAATACAGTTCAAAAAGTTTGGGCTCTACAAATTTTTGACCTAAATTAAATATATACTTCTTACTAAAACATTATGTAACAAAATACTACAATAATTATTGCTATTATTATTAATAAAATATATATTTTCTATTTATTAAATTTTTATCGGCTTTATATTTCATACTATATTCTTATATATAGATATATTAAAATATGTATAACGGTCCCAAAATTATAAAGTACCCAGTACGAGAACTAGTTTAAAAAGGTCGTCTATTAAAAACCATGACGAATTGGAATAATAAACAATCATTAGGGCTTTTAAATGAAAATAGAAAAAAAAGATCTATTTAACGACGTCTCATAATAAAATTGAATCAAAACCCCGCATTCCCATTATAGTATTCTATTAACCCCAATTCACTCAATATTTCTATAATTGGGTAAATTAACGTGATTTGTATGGTCCTGTGACTCAGCGAAACTTTAACGAGCCCCTTTTAAAATGTATTGTATTATACACAATATTTTATTTCTATAAAAACGATCATTAAATTATTAAGTTGCCATTAAATTTGTTTTTTTTTTCTAAGGGGCTGTCCATTAATCACGTGAGGCTTGAAAGGGGGGGGAGGGGTTTGTTAAAAATCACGAAAATAGCACAAGGGGGAGGTTGGTGTAAGTAAGATATCACGTGTATTTATTTTTTCGTCTAACGCGCGATTTTTAAACAAATATAAAAAAAAACTTGCAACCTGGTGTAGACATTTTTATTATGGTCCTTAATTTCAGAATAAAATAAGATTATAGTTTATACCTGTACTTAAATTAAGATAATATTCAGAAAATTGTAAGATTCGTTGTAGGTACTAAAAATACACGTGATGTTGAGAAGGGGGAGGGGGGGTGATCCTAAACCTCACTACGTATCACCAATGGGGGCGGGGGGGTTAAAAAATGCTAAAAAAAGATCACGTGATTAATGGACAACCCCTAATATATTTTAAAATTGTTTCGTACGCTCCATCAATAGATGGCGCTACCAGTCCGCTGAAACACGCTATCAGAATTTAGATTTGAAAGTACTAAGGCTGAGTAAGAGTATCTACAGTCAGACGTTCTTGTCGTTGAAACAAGATTTTTCTTGAAAGGGCGTTGTCTGACTAATGGTTCGGACAACGCTCGAATAATAACATGAAAAGTAGTTACATTTTCTACTAATTAATTATTATTGAAGTCGGCTAAAAGATAAACATTTAGAATTATTCCTAATTCCTACTTTTGATGATAACGCACAATTTTTAATTAAAAGTTATATATTAGGCTTTACGAATTTCAAAATCAATATTTTTTTAATATTTATTATTCCCTAAAAGGTTTTAGAATTGAAAATAAAAATGCGCCTGAAAGCATAGAAGAATTTAGCGACTTATTTTAATTATAAACTCTTGTACTTTTTGGGCATTTGAAATAACTGTCACTTGATGTGATAGATTGAACAATTTGAACGAATACAGCTTGAATTAAAGAAAAAAAAAATTAATAAATGTTTTAAGCTACATTCTACTGTTAGCTAGTGTATTGGTCGAAATTAAGGGCTTCATCTTAGAAATCTATCTGCATCAAGAGTTTAATATAACCATAGCCAGCCTGGAGGCTGTAATATCATTGATATGACAGGACAACGTTTTTCGTCCATCAGGTTGAAATATTAATAAGTACATAACATTATTGTTATTACTATCACATGTGTTTGATGATTGAAAAAGTGATTAATCTTCGTATGTATTTTGAAAATGCAAACCGTGTGGTAACGCTAATTAATATTAAACCCTTTTTAATAAATCCACGAATTTAAAAAAATCCAATGCATATTATGTTTCTTATTAAATTTTATTTATTTATTTTTTGTGATGGAAACCACATACGATGATCGTTAGGCAATTTGAAAATAAATTTTAATTAAAAATATTAAAAAAGAAAATAATAATAAAATCCCCTATCTACAGTTTTAGAATTAGTTATAAAGGTGGGTGGTAGAATCATAAGCACCATACATAACATGTATATATATTTTTTCAGGCAAGTTGGTAGGAATTTAATAATTCCTGGTGGTACTCGCACTATCGATGCCACCGGTAAACTAGTGATGCCCGGTGGTATCGACCCACATACACACTTCGAACTAGAGATGATGGGCGCCAAGACAGCTGACGACTTCTATAAGGGCACACGAGCAGCCGTAGCTGGTGGTACCACCACTATAAGTAAGTACATACTATAGCAATTTAAATTATATAGACAACTAGCTTTTGCGCGCAACTTTGTTCGAGTTAATTTCATAATTAGAAATACTTATAATACGCTTACAGGCGAACCGTTTCGATATAGAGGCAGAAAATAAACAGCTCTTAGTAGCAATTTTTTTTTTGGTTGAACGAATTCAAAAGTATCCCATATCCTATGTCTCCTGATTCCAACCTAGATCCCCACAAAATTTCCAGCATCCGTATAGCCGTTCTTGAGTTATAAATAGTGTAACCAACACGACTTTCTTTTATATATATCTATAAGAAGATATATATGTTTAACCATTTTATGTCTGCAAAATAATATGAAGCTTCATTAAAAACAATATCTATTTGAATTTCCATTTTTTCTTTAATTAATCATGGATATACATTTTTTCATATAAATTTTACAAAATCTTTATGTATTCAGAGAAACTCATGTATAATTTTGTTAGCCATAATGGATAATGTATCTAATTTTAATTTGAATCGTTTTTATTACAGTTGACTTTGTTCTACCTCAGAAAGGACAGTCATTGATAGAAGCCTATCAAAATTGGAGGCAGAAGGCTGATAATAAGGTACAAATTGATATAGCATAAAACATATACAGTCAAAACCGTTTATAACGACATTGAAGGGACCGTATATATCCGACGTTATATCCGATAGTCGTTATAAGCAATAGTCATATACACAACTACAGTAGTTATACATATTGTCATATGTAGGCACATATCTATCTAGTATAGATATAGGTTATGTAAACGATTCAGAAAAGAAATAAAAATATTTATTACGAAATAATTAGAATACAAAATGTATGTACTTGGCTGCTTACAGTTACGGGTTATAAAAAACTACACTAGTTTTTAAAGTAATCAGTCATTTTAGAATTTTTTTTTTTAGCACATTCTCAAATATTTTTAGCATTTTACGTTTCATACTCAAGGTATGAGTATCATCAATATCAAAGGCAATTTTTTTTTGCAAAACTGTTACATCATTAAGAGCGTCGGACATTATTGTTGGCTGAAACTATTCTTCAAGGTCTTGTTGGTCTTCGTGTTGTTCGTTAGTGTTAGGGTTGTTACTTTTAGCTTCTGCAAGAATCTTCCTCAGTAGCTAAAGCGCTAAAGCGACACTGTTTTTATTCCAATAAATTCCTCTATCTCAATTCTTTATTCTAAAGCAGTAGATCTTTGCAACTGGGTAAGGACAAGGAGCGGTTGGTCGTTAAAGTCGATTAATGTCGATAAATTTTCGTCGTTCTAAGCGATATGTCGCTGTATCCGATGTTGTTATAAGCGGTTTGTATACTGAATAGTTCACTAGCAATTCGGACGGGACCATACAATCTGGCTGTAATAACCGATAGGTCGTTGTAAACGATGTCGTTATAAACGGTTTTGACTGTGTATATATATATATATAGCTGACCCGGCAAACGTTGTTTTGCTATATTATAAAAAAAATGAGGTTGGTGATAAAAAAGTAAAAAGTTTGGGTTTTTGTATTTTTTAATGCTAGTTTATAAAGAAATAAAAAAAAAATTAAGTGTGTACAACCCTTATGACTTAAGGTATGAAAAATAGATGTTGGCCGATTTTTAGACTACTCAATGCTCACAAAATTTCACCAAAATCGGTCCAGTCGTTTCGGAGGAGTTCCCTTTCTAACACCGAAAGACGAGAATTTTATACATATGATATATACAGTTTTAATATTGCAATCTATAGACATATGTCTCTAAACAATACATGAATGACCACTTTCACTAATGCCAGTAAAGACAACATTTACTTTTTAAAGGAAACATGTGAATACGTTTTAATTATATGATAATTGAATCAAATACATCAGTTAAAGTGAACGTGAAGTCAAACAAAAAAATAAAATTAACATACATGACGGTAAAATTTAAATTAGCGAAAGTGATTTTAGTTCCGTTACTAGAACCTCGTGCGGCTTGTTTTTGTACTTATTTAATGATTTTTATAGATGATAGATTGTCTATTCACTTAGATAGCATAATTTTTATAGATGACAAGCTCTGTATTTACATAGACAGGATAGTTTTTTTAGATGACAGACTCTATTTAGATAACATAGTTATTATAGAAGACAGGCTCTGTATTCACATAGATAGATAAGAAAGATTTTGTAGATGACAAGCTCTGTATTAACATAAATAGCATAGTTATTATAGATGACAACCTCTGTATTAAAATAGATAGCATAATTATTATAGATGACATACTCTGTATTCACGTAGACAGCATAGTTCTTATAGATGACATGTTACACATGTACATAAATGATAGATTTTCATATAACGATACAAGTATTGAAACAAATGCAATTAGAAAGTCATCAAATAAATCATTTTTATACAATAAAGTAGTGCTAATTTTGAGTTTTACAATTATTTCTTTGATATTGTTTATATATTTATTATATATTATTTCCAGGTATGTTGCGACTATGCTCTACACGTGGGTGTAACTTGGTGGTCACCATCAGTTAAAAAGGAGATGTATCAATTGGTACAAGATCACGGTGTGAATTCCTTCAAGATGTTCATGGCGTACAAAGATGTTTGGATGCTGGATGATTATAACTTGTGCCTGGCTATGGAAGCTTGCAGTGAATTGAAGGCATTACCTATGGTAATAAGATTTTAATATATTTATATTATCTTTATCAAAAAATGTAATATGAATTATTGTTAGTATAATTATTAATGATTATTTGATTTTTTCTATTGATTGAATGTAATTTTAAGTACTAAAATTATAGTATTATATTTTATTCAATAAATGTCCGTAAATTTGATAATTGTTTGAAGCGATTAGTGTATTAACAGACCGGCATTTATAATAAATTCTATCAGAGCCCACTGCTGAGCAAATGCCTGTTTTCTTATGGAGAAGGTTAGAGAATTAATCACTTCGCTTGCTCAAGGCGAATTAAGGATTTCAAACTTATAATTTGTAATTATAAGTCCAGGTTTCCTCACAATGTCTTCCTTCCTTCCTTCCAATCACATGTTTAAATACTTTTAGAAAGTACACATACATAAGAAATTGGGTTCGAACCAATTATATTATATTATTAATTCCAGGTTCACGCAGAAAATGGCAGTATAATAGCACGTAACTCAGAAAGGCTACTAGCAGCTGGAGTCAAAGGTCCTGAAGGTCACGCTGCATCCAGGGATGACCAGGTGGAGGCAGAGGCCGTCAACCGGGCCTGTGTCATCGCCAACCAGGTCAATGACCTTATATCACAACCTTATATATAGTTAGAGGTCAATGACCTCACTATGGTATCATTACTTTTGACCTGTTGATTAGAACAATCATTGATCAGATTGTTCTTAATATTTCTGGCATTTATTAAGCATATAATGTATATATATAATATTGTACATCCCTATATCAAACGTGAAATATCTGCTATACAAATATATAAATACTTTTTCATACAATTCAGAATAATGATCGTTTCTCATATATATATTTGTATCTTTATCCACTAACTTTATCTCCCGGGTCCACTTATCATTAACCTCATATTCTTCATACAGATGGACGCTCCTCTATACATAGTCCACATGATGTCTTCTGCCGCGGTACAGTCTCTATGTAACGCGCGTCGTGTCGCTAAACGACCAATGATCGGTGAAACTTTAGCAGCCACTGTTGGAACTGATGGTAAGTTAGAGATTGGTAAGAATTTGTTTAGTCAGTTGGTCCAAAAACAGTAATTATGGGCCAAAATAGTCATTGTTGGTATAAAAATAGCCATTGTTGACCCAAAAATAGTCCAGTTGGTATAAAAATAGCCATTGTTGATCCAAAAATAGTCATTTTTGATCCCAAAATAGTCATTGTTAGTCCAAAAACAGGATTTGTTAGTCCAACAACAGAATTGATTCCAACATTTGTAAACTTCTAAGTATTCTTGAGAGAAAAGATAATTAAATTTATTGCTTCACTTGAACATTGCAATACCTTGCCACCATAAGCTTAGAGGTTGGAGTTACATTTATTCATTATGCAATTATATTTTAAAAGGCTTTCACAATATGTTTGTTAACCCATGAGTATATATCGCTGAATAAGAAATAAAAGCTTCAAAGTAAAACTATCAATTTCATTACTTGTATACATTTGAAATTCTTTGACAATTTCCCATAAAATTTGAATTAAGGAAGGAAAAAAATTGAAAATAAGTGAAACATTAGAGATTTGAAAATATTTAATTCTTGACAATCTGTGTTATTAACTAAATAAAATATCACTCCAATATATGTTCTTAACTTATACAAAACTTATATGTACATATTTATCAATAATAATCAGTCACTATCATGCTAGGCAAATTCTCATTACTGTATAACCCGCCAGGCTCGCACTACAAGAACGCGTGTTTCCGCCACGCCGCCGCCCACGTGCTCTCCCCACCACTCCGAGACCCTCACACACCGGAGGCCATTATCGACGCTCTGGCGCAGTGAGTATAAATTATATATATAACAAACATATACTAAAGATATACAATACAGAAATATACAGGGTGACTGGTGAATTACTATCGATATTTGAGGACGTGATATTTGACGATCATATATGACAAAATAAAAATTAATATAACATAAATATTAATAAACTTCTAAGTAAAGTTAACCAAAAGCTATGTAATTAATTACGCATCGTATGAACACCCTACAGATTAGGTATACACACACACACACACACACTCGCGCGCGGCGGCGTCTTGTTGTATCAGCACGCCGCCGCACGCGTTCACACTTGGAACACTTGGAACGTGTCAACACTTTATTTATTTATACGGAAATTTGGTCAAAAATTAAGTACCTATTTTTTTTACATAATTCGAATGAGAATCATGTACCGAGTATGCTCCTTAAATATTGATAGTAATTCACCAGTCACCCTGTATAGGGATATGTTTCAATTAACTAAACTTATATTTCAATAAGTATATTAACAAATTAAAATAGTTTAATACTAAATTTTGAATGTGTTCAACTTGCTCAAATATTTTGCTATACTATCCAATATTCTACTAGGACTGGATTTTATCCTCTTTGATATCGACAGTGTTAAAGATCACTTTTACAAGAAACACACCGCTTAACACTATTGTAGTGTAAGATATTCATAACTATCAAAAACGACTAATTTCAAAGATGTAATTAAGTATATTACTCAAATATAAAGTAGCACCCTTTTAATGCTAATAAATATAGATAATTCTAGAAGACTCTTTTTGTACAATTTATTTTTTCTTTCTTTTGTATTTCTAATATTTTCATTCTTTTATTTCCCAGTGATGATCTCCAAGTGATAGCCAGCGACAACTGCACCTTCAATGAGAAAGACAAGGAACTGGGGAAAAATGACTTCACTAAGATACCCAACGGAGTGAACGGTGTAGAAGATAGAATGGTTATACTGTGGCAGAAAGCTGTTAATACTGGTAAGATATATAGATATACTAATATTATAAATACGAAAGTAACGCTGTCTGTCTGTTACACTTTCACGACTAAACCACTGAACTGATTTTAATGACATTTGGTACAGACAGAGTTGACCTTGAGAAAGAACATAGGATAGTTTTTATTCAAGACTTTTGAAAAGTTCTCTTGGAAACGCGAAATAACCGAACTCCCCCCGGACGAAGCTGCGGGCGGAAAGCTAGTAAAATATATTGGCACTGTCAGCATCAATGATGGATGCAACACAATAATAAAACTTATTGATATTCATAATTATTGTTACAAGTGAAACGAAGGCAAAGATTATATATAGTGAACTAGCGTCATCTATACACTAGTTACATTGTATAAGCTAATGTTAAAAAACACTTGATTGATTTTATAATTTACAATTAGAGCTATAACATGTATTACATAATGTTTAAATGTTAATAATACAAATACCAAATTAATATATCAAGACCACAAACAAAATTATAATTTTGTAAATTCAACAATTCCCTATAAATCTCAATTTTCTCCCAAAAAATCCATAGAATGTTAAACATTGCACATGTGTTACTCGATTCTCATTCTATAAACCAATACTATTCTACATACATCAATTCTAAGAGTATTTAAACACCACTGACAGATGAAGGAAAACATCGTGAGAAAACCTGGACTTATAGTTTCACAATTATAAGTTTGAAATCACCAACCCGTCTTGAGCAAGCGTGGTGATTAATGCTCAAACCTTCTCCATGAGAGAAAGAGGCCTTTGCTCAGCAGTGGGCTTTGATAGGCTAAAAAAAATACATCAATGACAAACTATCATTAACTAGCTTTTGCCGCGACTTCGTCTGCGTGGAATAGTGACTTCCGGCAGATTTTTGGTTCTTCCCACATAGTTCCCGTTCTTGCGGGATTTTCGGAATTGTCGAGTTCCCGTGGAATTTTCAGGATAAAACCTATGTTTTTTTTATTCAAAATGAAGTACTCTTAACCAACAACATATTTATTTGTTTATTTGAATAAAGATTAATATTATTATGTTGATACAACTTAAACAAATTATTTCGACCAAATTAGGTACCATAAAAACGGTTTTTGTGAGTTAATCTTAAAAGATAGACATATACTGTCGCGGAGTGTTTTTTAGATCATTAAAAGAGCTATGATTCTTTTATACAATTTTTTATGTGTATCTTGAACCGTTTTCACGGCGCACGCAACGGAATGCTTCAAAGATGAAATAATTTCTCCCGTTTTTTACACATTTACCACTATATCTTTGCTCCTATTGGTCGTAGCGTGATGTTATATAGCCTACAGCCTTCCTCGATAACTGGACTATCCAACACAAAAAGAATTATTCAATTCGAACCAGTATTTTCGGAGATTAGCGCTTTCAAACAAACAAACAAACAAACAAACAAACAAACTCTTCAGCTTTATAATATTAGTATAGATTACATTATTAACACATACAAATAATTCCCATATTTAATACCGATATAATATTCCCATAGAGGGTTGATGTCAGGCAGGCGCCGGTCGTAAAAACAATTAGCCAGAACTATATACATGTAAGGCAGACCCTGGCTAAAGCTGCTAAATTGCCAGGTGGAAGAAGAATACCAATACAATATAACACATTCTCCGTAGTAATACATATTTTATCGTCCAGGTATAATGGATCCTTGTCGTTTCGTGGCCGTGACCAGTACTAACGCGGCCAATATCTTCAACCTGCCCTCCAAGGGTCGGGTCACAGTGGGCGCGGATGGTGACGTCATCGTGTGGGACCCGCGCTTAGAGAAAACCATTTCAGCGGCCACACACCACCACGCTGTGGATTTCAATATATTCGAGGTTCATATACACTGGTCTTATAACTAATGGAAATTATATATAATTTTTTGTTATAATGTACAGTTATTAAGTTTTTTTTACTAATTATATTTAAATGGCTTAAGAAATGAGTGAGAAATTTTATGTTTATTTATTTATTTATTATTTCGGTAATCCAACAGTGCTTATAATAATGACATGAAAAAGTATAATTAAACAAACCAATACAGGATTACACAGTTAAAGTAAAAGTATAAACATAAACGTACCTTAAGTTTTAATTAATAATGGATCACTAAATTAATTTGCAAGACTGTTCGTTGTGTGTGAGCGAATGTGTGTATGTGTGTGTGTGTGTGTGTGTGGGTGTGTACGTGTGCGTATAATAATAATTATGAGTTGTCTTTAAAAAGTCCATATTCTACTTTAGATTGAGAAAAATATGGAATAGAATGAGATATAATTATATTTTAATATTAATCTTTATGTATTATATATCTTTCTTTATGTTTCTTAAGGGTCAACGTGTAGTGGGCGGTCCACAGTATGTTATCGTGAATGGTCGAGTGTGTCTCGACGACGGCGACCTTAGAGTGGCTGAAGGTAAGAAATTAACTGTCTACTAATAATATAAACGCTGAAGAATATATGTATGTGTGTTTATCTTACACGCAAAAACTATAGAATAGAATTTTATGAGTGCAGTTATAAAAAAATTCTATTTACATGACTAGTTATAACATACATAGACGTTTATTTATTTACCAATAACATTATATATATAATAATAATTAGCGCTGCTATTTGAATACTCCTAACTGATTTACAAATACAAGAGAGTTAATTTTATAACATATAAATTTTTTAATTTTCAGGTTACGGTAAATTCTTACCCACACCACCAAATTCTCCGTACATGTACGGTGAAGTACCCACCACGCCACAACCGAAGAGAGTTGAACACGAGGCATCACCCGCTAGGGTCACTAACGGGACTCCCACCGGTACAAAACATACATACCACTTAGAATATATATTAATGTATTATATGTATAATATTTGTCATCTTTCTATATAACAGGCTAAGATAGCTATTTTATAGTTGTTATCACTACCAATATTATAAATGCGAAAGTAACTCTGTCTGTCTGTTACGCTTTCACGTCTAAACCACTGAACTGATTTTAATAAAATTTGGTACAGATATAGAGTTGACCTTGAGAAAGAACATAGGATAGTTTTTATCCCAGACTTTTGAAAGGTTCTCTTGGAAACGCAATATAACCGAATTCCAGCCGGACGAAGCTGCGGGCGAAAAGCTAGTGAAATATAATTAAGAATAAACGAAATGTTTTTCAACTAACCTTAGTTAATATAACGGTTGAGGTAAAATTTTTCGTGACAACACTTTATTTAGGGCATTTGAAAATTAACTTTAAACTTTTCTTGCATATTAATAACTATCTTGTAGACAGGCAACATTGACAATTAAATAATCTCATAAAATCAAATAAACCAAAATGTATTCTTTTAAAATTAAGTAAATACTAAATACATGTCTAAAAATAAAAACTAATTAATAAATTAATATTTATATTATAATAAATAGAGAAACAAACATTTAATCATATCAATATTATATTCCAGAGCTTCAGATATCTCATAAACTAGAAGCGACATCTGTATCTGGCTGTAGTACACCGACTGGGAGGAAGATGAGGGAACCGGGGCAGAGGAACTTACAGAACTCAACCTTCTCTATCAGCCGTGAGTTGGATTAAAATATAACTTTAATACTATAGGAATAAAGTACAGTTTTGATAATATAAACCTCTGGTATAACTACCATTTGATAGTGTAATATTTAATTATAAAATTGTCATAAGAACATCTAGGATTTTTTATCTTGTAAACCACTTATTACTCAAGAATATTTCTTAATATTACTGCAATATTTATTAATTCAACTCAGCCTTTTCCAAAATGGATTACAAAGCTTTGTAATTTCATTCAGTTAGAATAAGTTATAGTAGTTTTTCAGTGTGTTAAAAAATATGGACACTAAAAAAGTATTCTCAAAATAGGTAATAGACAAAATAAGTTTTGAATCCTCTAGCTTAACATTGTAAATCATTAAATTATTGATTTGTACATGGTCTTAATTAATTAATTAATTAATTAATTTTCTGCATTTCCAGAGGAAATGGAGGGACTAGACACGAAGACCTCCGTCCGCGTACGGAACCCACCCGGCGGGAAGTCATCCGGCTTGTGGTAGAACCGGTTTAAACCGGATGAAACCAGTTCAATGAACACTATGAAACCAGACTCACACGGACATACACTTGTTACAGGCTGTAACATCCATACTATATTATTGTTCAATTATCAAAATTAATAACATTAAAAAACCGGATTGAACTGGATAGAACTGGTTTTAAGATTGATTGCTTTCTGCTTGAATATGATAAAATTAATGTAAAATTGACATAAAAATTATTGGAATAATAATGTTTTTTGTAATAATAATCGTAGTAAATATAATGACTCGTTAATCATGATTGATTATGAAAAGAATGTTTTTTTGTAAATGAAAGTTGCATTTGTATTCGAGCTTGATGCCTTTGATATATGACGTGAATGTTTACATACAATACATAATGACAGGCATTTAATATGTATGTAGGAAAACTGAAATTGAACTAAATGTTAGTTTGGAAACTATAAGACGTTTATTTTTAGTGAGCGATCAATGTTAGCTCTATATAAGTGCATGTATTGGTAATTATTTATTTTCTCATTTCATAGACTGATCCATAGACAAACTAGACTATAGACGATGTTTTTACGGAAGTAAAAAAATAAAAATGTTTTTATAATTATTAGTGAATTAAAAAGTTTTTGTAATCTGTATTTATATTGTGAAACGACCAAGTAGAAAGTGGTTTTATAAACTTTTAAACTATACAATTGATAATGGCCATTTTGTTTTTTCTAGAATGTTCTAGAACTAAACGAATTCAATAATCTTTATTCATAATAATATTTTATTTTATTTTTACCCGCATGTTCCCTCAAGTGTCAAATCCTTTTATTGATACAAATCATTGTATGTGATAGCATAATATTCATTATTATTTGTAATCCGTACTTATTAACTGTTATTATAATAATATTTTAAGATTAGTTACTGTCTAGATGTATTTTGCACTTTTCAAATCATTAAACATACAACTACCGCCATCTACCTTCACTATTGACAATTTAATACATTTCAAAGTTTATTTTTACCAAAGATGTATAATTAGTTCTGTGTTACCTAGTTTATAATCGGCGTCACTTTTTTTCTATATCTATTCCTTAATCCGCATTGTCACAAATAAATAATGTAATCTCTTAATGTTTGTATTATTTTATTATTAATTAGTTTTCATATTAATTTAAACAACACATCGTTTTTCTAAGTAATAATGAAATATCTTATTTATAAAAAATATAAATAATTATCCTCAATATCAATTATTTGTGATAAAATTTGATAATTAGTTAGATTCTTGAAAAAACATTGGAATCTTTTTACTGGTATACAGTCTTAATAAATTGTTGAAAGTTATAACGACTACTAAATGCTTGAGGTAAATCTATTTATTTTTTGCGTTACATAAAAGGCATGTATAAAGTATTGGCGTAGGGCGAGCAGAATATATGACAAAAAACACTATCATAATACTTTTTATTAAACATTAACATAAGCTTTTTTAACTACAATCTTATTTGGGCACACCTTCCACTTTCAATTATTTTAATTTTAACATCAAACGATAACATTGAAATTATATTCCTAAATAAATTCATTCAACACACCAGTACAGACTACAGACCGCACAACTAAAGTTTTCCTGCATCCTTAATAAATTCCCTTATCACTTTATAGAGAGTTTTAAGTAACAATAAAACTTACCTATAATTTTTCTTTACATATACGAAATTCATTTCATTTATTCTTGTATGTAGCACCTGTCTTTTTAGCATTTTTGTCTAGTTTTTGCTCCCTTTCTGTGCAAGTGCTGTCCTGTAGTGTGATTTTGGCGGGAGGAAACCTACATATCTTAACAAATTGTATATAATTATTCTTCATTATACTTACCAGGTAGAAATCGTTAATTCTGAACCAGGTAGAAATTGTTAATTCTGAATGTCCTATGGAAAAATAGCAGGTAAGTTTTATTGTTAGTAAAAACTATTATTATTTCCATGTCGACATCAGGAATCCATCTTGAGTGACGTGTGACCTCGTGTTATCACCTGGTCATAAATATTATGGCGTCGCTATAATGTGTTCAATAAAACTTAAATCATTGGAATACAATAATACATTTTAATAATTAATATTTTGATTTATGGAATAAAATCAAAATAGCTTGACAGCTAAGTTTTTGTACTGTCCTGTGACTGACTTAATATAACTTAAGTATCGACTTTTCAGTTTCTAAATTTTATCTATTCGAAAGCATTTCATTCACTTAAGGGAAGCTACTGACGATCTTAAAGATTTAGGAGAAGTTTTAGTACCAGCTTCTTTGAGTAGAGACTTAATCCAAACTCATAACTATTTTCTATGCCGTTCTAGGTCCGTTCCTCTAGCGGACAATTCATTTAAATGTATTCACCTACTGCCACGGCCTTTGCATAGATCAACCAATCGGCAAATCTAGTACATATAATCAAGGGCTAGCATTGGACTTTGGGAAATTTTCCATTTTGGGACTGTCTGTAATTGATTCTATCAGTCTTGGATTAGGATCGTGGCCTTAATATAATGGCGTTACCTGGTCAATAAATTTTCATTCTTCAATTGTCAGTTAAGTGAGATAGTGGACTCTACGTCCTGACGATAAAGCAGCAGGATTGCTACAACAACTCAGTACCCAATATAAATTGTTTACATTTACCAGATGCGTACTAAAATAATGTAAACAATTTAGAGTCCCAGATAGGTGATGTGGAATTCTTCTTTTTGGGTTATTTTAATAGCTTTAAGAAAAGTGTCTAAAGTGGATATGTACATATAGTTAGATGCAAGAACTACATTCGAAGGAACTAGTAAAAGTTGGAATAAAAGATTTATGTACGAGGATGGTGTAAGCCTCGAGGATTGAGGTTTGGAGGTTGAAATATCCAGGCATGGGTTCACTGACGACTGAAAGCGTTGTGTGTGTCTCGTTTCGATCCACTAACCCAATGTCATATAGTTTTACTACATGAGCTGACATTTACGCAGATGAATCTATCTGTGGTATTCCGAACTTCGTGCATTTTTTCCTGGAGGATCTGCTTTCAGATCTGGATCCTGTAGGGTCTGTCCACTCCGGACACGCGTTTGTTAGAGACGGTGCATCAATATTGCTGTTGTAAATAAAACAAAAAATAAAATCCTTTTATTACTACACAGAAGGTAAGTAGTTAATAGTAATTAATTGATAAATATAAAAGTGAAAGTAACATTAAATAAAGTAACTAAAAAATAAAAAAATAGAAAGTAAGTTAAAAAAAAATTAACGAAAAAGTAATTATAATCTACTGTTTTCTTTTTTAATCTTCTGCTAAAACCCCTCTATAGGTGAAGGTGTCCTCCAAGGAAGATCAGTCTTCTTTAGGTTTGGCTAATTGAAATCCATCTACACGGTCGACTGTAACTACGTCATCTCGCGCAGGGTCTTCCTCTTCTCCTTACCGAGTGGGCCTTTCCAGGCTGTAACTGTTTTGATCAGTCTCTAGCAGTGGCGGCTGATGGGTTATCGAACTGGTCGTGCACTTTACTAAAATATTAAAGTTAGGAAATGCAACAATTGACATAAAATATGTTTATTTTTTTATACATTAAATCAATGCGACGACATTTTTCTGAAGCGAAATGTTCAATCACCTTTTTATTAAAATCGGGTATTGTTTATTTATATTATTTTTTTCAATACTAAGCACAGAAAGTGCATTCAGCAAATGCATGGTATTTCGGAGTAAAGTCTTGATTCTTTTCAATTCCAATTCGTCATACATCGGGTGATTTTGGTAATCTTCGGTGACTCGTGCGGCGCTCATTACTCGGTACATTTCTATGAACTAGCTTTTGTTTCACGCGTCAGGCGTATTAATGCGTATCTCATACAAAATGTATTAGCAGTCCTCGTGCACTCGCCGAAGCGCAAGAGATATTAGTTTAGTAAAGCGCTCAAACTTTTTGACCGTAATTGGAAATTTAATTTTTTTGTACGTTTTTGTATGTTTAGAAAATAAATATTAAAATGGTAATTTAAAAATAAAGACGAAGTAATATTTTGCAATTTTTAAATCTTTTGAATTGGTGGTTCAGCGCACGAGTGCACTTAACGTACCGCCGCCACTGGTCTCTAGTCTTGCAAGCGTGCTGTCTGTGGTATGCAGTGTCCGCCAGTATGATCTCCCTCTACAATAGTTCGGGGGAAAAAAACATGGAAAACAGCGATGGCTCAAAACCAGCTTTGCTGTTAGTCTGCAGTTTGTAAAGAAAAGTTGAAAAGAAAATATGAACAAAGCCATTCAACTGTTTCAAATTAAATATCCGACGTTGTGAACCGTCGCTTTTATGGATCAGAAAGAATGTTGATAGACAACAGTGTAATGTCAGCTATTTCTAATTTTTTTTAAATTTATCCTACCTTGTATTTATCCTAGCTGTAGCATTTCTGGAGTACCTTTAGTTTGAGTCACTGCTAATAAAGTTGGTGTCGGCATTATTAGATTTAACTTCATTAAAAAGCTATGCGAACACCTTTAATTACTCTCCTTGAAATTTCGGAAATTTTGAAATCTTATGTTTTTCTGATAGTAGTCGAGCAATGGTACGAAGATTATTATTTTCTTGTTACTATAACATTTTTGTGCAAAAAAACGCTTTTTTTTGTCGAAACCAGATTTGAAAGTTGAGTATTTGCTGGCGTTCATAATACTTTATCTGCTTTTTTTATACCCAAGCTGTCTAAACTTTGTTAAAAAATATATTTTTAAATTTTTTTGCAAATGAAGTTAATTTGTGTATTTAAAGAAACGAAATGTGCTGTAGCTTGTCACATTATGTACTATTATATATATCTATCATCATAGTGTATGATAACAAAACAGCAAAAACGATGTTATTCATTTATTTCTGGTCATAGTATTCGAGAAAGTAAAATAGTTAAAAAATTAGATATTTCTTTAAAAAAACTTATCTTGAGTTCGACTTATGATATATTTTGTTTA